AAGGTGTATATGTATATATATATATATATATATATATATAAATATATAAATATATATAAATATATGTAATTGACAATAGATGTACACTGCTGTTCAAAAAATACTTTTATTCAGCAATTATGTATAAAAACGGACTGAAAATACATTTTTGTAATGTAAAAAAATAATTTTCAAGTAGAAATAATATTTTATTTCTCTTGTGTCCTACTTACTGTGAATGTATAAATGTCTTTCATCTCAACCACAGATTGTCCGACGCCATATTTTGGGCTCCATTGTGCAGAGTGAGAGGAGTTACCTGGACTCTCTAAAACGGATTCTACAGGTGAGATACTGTTGCATCTGTCCCCAAAGCTGTGTTGGTGAAATAAAAAAAACAACAACCTTTTGATAGATTTTAATAGGGTGTATTTGCAATGACAAAATATTTTGACATAACAGAAAGTGTTGTGTCTTTTTTTTCTTCAGTGTGCTAAGATCAAACTGAAACTCCATGCTATGATACTTCAAAATAAATTCATACTTAAATTCAAAAGAGTAGGTAAAATGCTAAAGTCAAATATTATTGCCACCTTTAATTTTTCTGGGAATGCTTGTTATATGTACATGAAATCATTAGTCAAAATGTCACTATTTTTGTCTTGAAATGGTTAAATCATTCTTATGATTACACAACAAAACTTTTGGAAGGGTTACAAATAATGTCAAGACTCTTCCAAATGTGAAAAAGCCTGCTATTCAAAACAAAAGATAACACTATCAGTTTTCTTTAATACTGAATTTGCCTTCACATTCACATTTCTTTAAATGGAAGCGTGCAGGTCTGGTGGGTTTCGTAGTGTGGAGTTTCATTACACATAATTCTGATCTCAGCTAGTGGTGGAGAGAAAAGCATTTGTTATCACACTCCTTTGAAGGCACAGGCACCGTCTAAAATGGAATCACAGATCAGTGACAGCTTTCCGCTCTATGAAATCTAGTCATTCAGGATCTGTCTCCAAGCTTTGTTGTTGAATCAAAGCTCTGTCGGGTGTACTTTACAATTCCTGCTCTCTTTATAGCATGCTAGACATGGTCTAGGGTTTAGATCAGGTAAAGTGGCCTGAAAGCAGGGGAATGGGGGGGCTGTGTAATTAAGTTTAGTAGTGCCGTTGTGGGCAGATGCATCTTTAGAAAAAGAAATAGTCCCATTGCCTCATCCTTTGTCTTATTTTCTCTGTCGATAATTCATTAGTGCTGGAGACTACAGGGTAGGAAAGAAAGCAGCCATGAAAAATCTGTTGTATCCACAGTCTAACCTGCAAAGTCTCTTTGCTTTTAAAGATTAGCTCTTGTAGTTTATCTATGAACATTACTAGCTTGTTTTGCAATTTGAGGAAATCAAGCTTAAACAAGCATTTAGCTGAGCACAATTTGGCAATGTTGCAAAGCTGTCAAAGCCAATATCAGAGGGAGAATTAACATTAAGAAAGGAATATTTCACCCAAATGTTGTTATTCTTTAGCCACCTGCAAAATGCTTTAGTTATTGTTAGCCATTTTTGATCATAACAACCCTTTTCATTTTTATTGTAGCAAAAAAGAGTGGCCCAAATATTCTTTTTATGTTCAGTGAAAGAAAGAAAGAAAGAAAGAAAGTCATATGAGGTTAACTTTTTATTTCAGTTTAGCATTTTTAGGTGTTGTGGGTTTCGGAGAATAAAAAGAGACATTTCAGGAGTATTCTTTTGACAAATGTTTAAATTAGAAACTTTACACTAGTTTGGAATAATTAAGATTTTTATTTTTGTTTGAAATAAGTCTAATGCTCACCAGTGTTGCATTTATTTGATGAAAAATACAGTAAAAACGGTAATATTGTGAAATTTAAAAGAACTGTTCTATTTTTTATTATTTTACTATTTTTTACTATTAAGAATTTGAGCAGCAGATTAACATATTAGAATGATTTCTGAAGGATCATGTGACACTAGCCGGGTTTCCATCCAAAGTTGTGAATTTAACTTGTGTGCAAAATTGGAATATCGCATAAAACGTGCGAATAATCAACGTTTCCATCCAACGAGTCAAAGAGAACAAAATCGTCACTTGCTGATAAACTAATACTAAATATCACTAAGAAAAGTACGAGAAGTCACTGAATATAATAATTTTCATATATAATAAATGTATTTGTAACTTGAGTGAGCAGACGAAACACAATAAATGTGGTCATCGCTTTACGAGGTGGATGCATGCTGTTTGGGAACACAGTCATGCAAGACAGTTCGGAGGCAGTTATACAGAAATACTTTGAGGACAGACTCTGCTCAGGCATTTAAGAATGACCATAACAACATTTAAGATGCTGTGCAACGAAATCTGTCTGCTGGTTAGTCAGGTTATGCCATCCCATAGTCAAAGTCACATGACTATTTTGATGCTCATGGAGGAATTTATTCACAAAATGTGTTTCCATCTCTCATTATTTGCATTAACCCTTTTTCACACAAGTCCCTTAAAAAAAATCCCGTAATTCACAAAAAGGTTTTTACGCTCGCTTGAGAGAGTAAAAACCTTTTTGCAAATTAAGGGATTTTTTTTTTCTTTGAAATTGGGCATTTCCTTCACTCGTTTCTGATGCGATACTCCAAAATGCACTTAAAAACAGGGTGATGGAAACATAGCTACTGATAACTGGAGTAATGGATGCTGACAATTTGCCATCACAGGAATATATTTCATTTTAAAATATATTACAATAGAAAATATTTATTTCAAATTGTAATAATATTTCACATTATTATTAGTGTTTTTACTGTATTTTTGATAAAATAAATGTAGCTTTGGTGAGCATAAGAAATTTCTTTCAAAAACATTAAAAAATCTTCATGATTACAAGCTTTTGACCAGTAGTGAATAAATTCAAACAGACTGAATAAATCTGACATCCCAGCTTGAAACAAAGCAGAATTCATACAATATAACAAAGACTAACTGAATAATCAGGAAACGCTGAAAGAGCCTCTAAAAAAGAAGGTGATATGTATGGATGTCAGGATATGTATCTCCTTTTGTTCAAACACATGCATTATTCCAAAGATGTATTCATATATGTAAATTGCACACTTTGAATCATGCATTCAAATGAATGAAATGGATAATGCATAGTGAGACTTGATTTTTTTTTCACCTCGCTGTTAAGATTAATTCATTTGCACATTTTTAATGTGCTGAATTAATGTCCTTGTCAAGGTGAGGCAAGTCAGAGCTGTAAATTAATTATTTCTCATGTATAAATATAAAAATATTTCAGTAATAGCATACATATGAAATATCTCCATTTCCCACGGTCCTTTAGGAATACCAGCGACCTCTGATGGAGGCTGAGCCTCGAATCCTCAGTGTCAGGAAAGTCCGGCCCATTTTTTTCCGTCTGCGGGAGATCATGCAATGCCACTCCATGTTCCAGATTGCCCTGGCATCTCGGGTGGCCGAATGGGACTCTTGTGAAAAGATTGGGGACCTGTTTGTAGCTTCAGTGAGTAGGACAATTCTTGAAAATTACTTGCAAGCTGTTTCAGGTACTAACAGTGCTCTGCTCCAGTTTACTTCAAAAGCAGAGACAATTACTGTGAGTGAGGATGGCTGTCTTTTACCAAAGTAAGCATGTTGGCACCATTGGGCTGCAGGGCGTCTAATGGACTAATCAATGAGTTTCTGGAGTGACCCTCCTCAGAGGCAGCATCCATAAGCTGTTCTCATTATTCTTCTGTTTAAAGAGAGCGTTTGGCCTGTCTGACCTGCTTTTATTCCATAGCACTATTGGTCTTTATAAAGTCCCTGGAGCACAAAGAAGTACCATAGAGAGAAAACTTAGAGCTGAAGTTGCACTGCTGTGCATTGCGAAGCAGAAAATAAACCCACAAACCACATAACACACATCATATTGCACCGGTTTAAACAATCTTTCTGTTATTGAGTGCATATGTACACACTGTGGGGCAAATTTGCTTGGGACTCTTGTGAAAAGATTGGGGACCTGTTTGTAGCTTCAGTGAGTAGGACAATTCTTGAAAATTACTTGCAAGCTGTTTCAGGTACTAACAGTGCTCTGCTCCAGTTTACTTCAAAAGCAGAGACAATTACTGTGAGTGAGGATGGCTGTCTTTTACCAAAGTAAGCATGTTGGCACCATTGGGCTGCAGGGCGTCTAATGGACTAATCAATGAGTTTCTGGAGTGACCCTCCTCAGAGGCAGCATCCATAAGCTGTTCTCATTATTCTTCTGTTTAAAGAGAGCGTTTGGCCTGTCTGACCTGCTTTTATTCCATAGCACTATTGGTCTTTATAAAGTCCCTGGAGCACAAAGAAGTACCATAGAGAGAAAACTTAGAGCTGAAGTTGCACTGCTGTGCATTGCGAAGCAGAAAATAAACCCACAAACCACATAACACACATCATATTGCACCGGTTTAAACAATCTTTCTGTTATTGAGTGCATATGTACACACTGTGGGGCAAATTTGCTATGGTTGAACTGCAGACGAAGACAACATAAATTATTTGCATGCGTTGTCTCTGTTGTTTTAGCACCAGATTCATCATAAAAATCAGACAATGTCACAAACATACCTAAATTGGCTTTTTAAAATAGTGAAGTTGTGCTCATTTACTCTCTGCATATGGATATATGCTTGGTTATGGCATTCTTGTCTACTATTGGATCATCAGTTGATTATTATTTTGACATGATCAAAATGTACACAATGTATCTCTTATTTATAAAATAGTTGGATATATAAGTAAATGCATACAGTAAACTCGTGTAAAGAGATGCTTGATTTTTTTTTTGTCATTTGTCAAATTGTAAACTACTGTATATTATCACCCCAGCTGTAATCTAGTGACTATAAGGCATGCAAATATTACATTCTTCTTTGAAACCATGTGTATTGTGAAAAGTGCTATACAAACGAGAATGAGATTGTATGATTTCATACAAATTAGCCACTAATTCGCAAAAATGTAAAATAGTAATGAATTGCGAATTATTAGCAGTTGATCGCACAATCCTAATAGTTTTTGCGCTGAAATACTGAACGCCGCAAAGTGCTGCAACTGTTTCGTAAATTTGCCCTGTATGTGTGTTTGTTGATAATAACATCTTTTCACATGTGTATAATTTCCTGCCATACTTGGCGGTCCCAAAGGGGAGGTACAGTTTGACAGGGGTTAACGTCTATTTGTGGCTCGTTAATGTTCTCTCCAGGTCCTGCGAGCACTGCTGCTGTCAGCAGGTCTGTTCAACTTCAATCAAAGCAGAGCGAATGAATGGCTGCTATTTTGCCTACTCTAAAACACCCGGCAGTAATGGACTGTCAAAGATGTTTAGGTCCTTGGGATGGCAAACAGTGGTGCTGCGCTGCATAAATACCACACTAAAATTACTGTTTACTTCCATCTCTTTGCCCTGTAATCACCTTTAGAGTGGTCTGCCCACCACGACAGCAAAATTCAAGAGCAGTCTCAGCTCTGAAGGAGAAACTGTACATGTTAACAGATGCATTAAACAAAGCAGAAAATGAACATAAAACCAAATTAAATGTGATTTCTCTAAGCATTTGTTTGTCTTAACATCATCTCTCTGTATTCCTCTTAGTTCTCAAAATCCATGGTGCTGGACGTATATAGTGATTACGTCAATAACTTCACCAATGCCATGGCCCTAATTAAGAAAGCCTGCATGTCTAAACCAGCATTTCTGGAGTTTCTCAAGGTAAGAGCTGATATTTGCTGTCAATAGCCTCTTGAAGAAACAAGTTTCACCCTAAATCACCTCTTTCTACTGCTGTGCTGTTGTTTGAATGCAAAAAATTCCTATTAAGGAGTATGCTTTTTTTTGTAAAAAAAAAAAAAAAAAGTAAATAATTGACTCTCTCTCTCATATCCTTTAAACCTATGACTTTTTTCTTCTGTGAAACATAACAGAAGATATATATATATATATATAAAAAAGAAATTGTCCATACAAAAAGTAAGTGGAGTCCAATGTTGTTTGGGTCACACTGACTTTAAAATTACCTTCTTTTTTGATTTTTAGAAAATGTATATTTAATATAAGTGTATTCTATAAACAAGTGTATTAAATAAGTTAAAAGCAAGTAAATAAAAAATAAAAATACATTCTCTAAAAAATCCCAATATCTAATGCAGTGCTAGTTCTCAAGTAATTTTACATTCTTTCAAGGATTTTTCGATATTTTAACTGAAAGATGAGTCAGAAAGACTAATTAAAAACAAAAGAAGTCATTTGACATTCATTTTAATAGCTTTGAGGTTAGTCTGAGAGTGAGAAGATCTTTCGCTTGGAGCATTTCAGGCAAGCCCCTGATATCCTGATTGCTGAATGGATTATAAGTGTTGCTTTTATTTGTTTTTATTCAAAATATTTTACCTTGTAAATGTGAGACTGTGGTTATCTTTTTTTTAAGTTGCATAAAGCGCAAAATAAGTGTGTAGTGTTATCATGGCAACAAATTTTCACGGTGACTTGAATCTTTAACATCTGTAAAAGCGACTGAACTTCACAAATGCATAGTTGACCATAGTCTAATATCCTTGCTTTGAAACCTGCTGGAGGGCTCTTAAGTACACCTACTATCTGACAGTGCGCAGTCTAATGATTGCCAAAGTCTGCTGGCAGGCATGAAAGAATCAATAGTGTAATGCTAACCTCCACCCACCTCTCAGACTTCCTTGAGTGTCAAGATTCTTCTGCTCTGTATGTGGAAATGACTCTGTCTACCCTTTTCTTTTCCTTTGCCTTTCTCTCAATATGTGGTTGCATCTCTTTACATTCACAGAAGAAGCAGGCATCCAGCGTTGACCGCATTACTCTCTATGGTCTGATGGTGAAGCCTATTCAGCGTTTTCCTCAATTCATACTCCTCCTGCAGGTCAGAATTTATCCATAAACTGTTAACACAGTGCCATCGTTTAGAGTGCTGGAGGGGTCACGCTCCATTAAACTACTAGAAATTAGTTGCCAAGCAAGTTTATTAGAAACTGAATGAATGGCTAAGACCATGCCAGGTCTTCTTGCACCCTATTGGTTCACAAGTTTGCTTTCCCTTGGCTCATGGCCATGATACAGAATTGGGTGTATATCAAGACTCCAAGATCAGATTTTTATACAGAGAACTTGAATAAACCCAAAAAAAAACACGCACATTGCTTGAATAAATGAGGCAGTTCACCCCGAGACTTACTTTCTTCTGTGAAACCCAAAAGAAAAAAATGGTAAAGAATATGCTTGTCAGTATTTCCATATAGTGCACTGGGACCAAAATGAAAATTTGTTCACAGTGTGTGTGTGTGTGTGTGTGTTTGTTCACTACTCACTGCTGTGTGTGCGCACTTGGATGGGATAAATGCAGAGCACACGGCACGTCACTTTCACTTTTTTCACTTTCATAAAAACAAAATAATTATTTTCATATTTATTCATATATGTGACCCTGGACCACAAAACCAGTCTTAAGTCGCTGGGGTATATTTGTAGCAATAGCCAAAAAAACATTGAATGTGTCAAAATTATCGATTTTTCTTTTATGCCAAAAATCATAAGGATATTAAAGGTGACATATCATGAAAATCTGACTTTTCCAGGTTTTAAGTGCTATAATCAGGTCCCTGGTGCATCTAACAAACAAGGAAACGTGAAAAAGATTAACCCAGTAACTTTGTTTTGGGAAGCCTTTTTCTGCAAGCGTCTGAGAAAACGAGCGCATCTGATTTCGCTCCCTTGGTGACGTGGCAAAGGGATCTCATTATAATATTACCGCCCCTTAATCTGTAAGTTTCCAC